TCTACGAAACGAAGTTAGCTACTGGCTTTTATTTAACCTAATTATCGTTGAGGTGGGCGTAAAATGTCTACATTTTTTCCCAGGTAACTTAATAAGACTCGCATTTTAAGCGTTGAATGGTATATTATTATTTTAACTCTTAATCCTCAACGAGTGTCTATGGTTTAACAGTTATACACAGAAGACCTGAGTTCGATTCAAGTGTATATGAACGGGGTGGGGTAAGGGAAGGAGACGGGGCAGGGAGGGGGGGGGAGAGGCGACAGGGGATAGTTGTATTGTCTTCGATCTTCTGCGACGTTGTATCCCTGTTTTTGCTGAGGATGGCCCCGACAGGCAGTGTCTATGTGGTCCGCTTCCAATGTGATCTAATTGAGTCGACAGAAATATGGGGGTCATGGCAAAATAATATTTATTACATTATTATTACTTTTACCACTATTCATTTTCATATAATTATTATTAGTATTATTAATATTATTATTATTATTATTATTATTATTGTTATTATTACATGTATTATTATTATTATCATTATTATTACGATTATTTTACTATCAATATTATTATCAAAATTAGTATAGATATTATTATTGTTGTTGTTGTCATTACGGTTGATATTATTATTGTTATTATTATTACTACTATTATTATTTTTTTTTATTATTATTTTTATTATTATTATTATTCTTATTCTTATTATTATTATTATCATTATTAATAATAATAATAATAATAATCCGAACCAAACTAATAGTTCAAAGCTGTCGAGCTTCTGATTTTCTATAACAAAGCTTGGCAGACAATGACAGTAGTACACCACCTGATACCCTCAGAACGTTTGCACTTAGCTGTGCACTGGGGGAGGGGGCACACAATTAAAACTAAAATTTTTCAAATAGAAAGAAAAAAATAGGCAGCCCGTTCAGTTATAATAATAACCTTCTGCATTATGCAAAGCTTGGAAGTGAAAAGACGGATAACCTAATATTTAATCGAAGCAGGCCTGCGTGTAAACTGCAGCGAGGCGCTGTTGTTGTACTCTAATACGAACTTGGTGGGTGAACTCTCTGAGGTTTTTGGGTGAAATGTCCAAGCCTCTAGCGCGGTGGTTTAGTTAGGATTTGATTGTGACCTCAGGGACAAAGTGGGTTACAGGAAAGGACACAGCCGGAAGCGAGTGTCGTAAGGCGGGAAATAATGATCTAGGTCAAGGACAGAAATGTTTCCATGGGTCAGGTGGGACAGAGAAATGACAATTCGTTTATGTTGGTAATATTAATATAAAAGACAAGAATTCCTTGTAGAATGTTGTATTATTACAATATAATAATAATATCAATATGTAATGCGATACAATATGTGTGATGCTCTTCAAAATAATGAAATTGAAGGTACAGGTCGTTTTTTTTTCAGCCTAACACCAGGTGACCCCCATCTCCTTCAATCACAAGTATCTCGTCTGCTATTCAACATTGATTGCTATTTTTTCGTCAAAAGAAAGTCAAATGAATAAGCTTTACAGTAGTACCAACAACTCCATAAGCTCAAAAATTGACGAGCCACTGATTCCACCGCAATGTGACATATACTATAATACACAGTAATATGAAATATAATACAGAGAGCGATTCAGAAAGACTAGACTCAATTTATTACGCAACACGAGAAAAAGGAGCCACAATAAAAAGAAATTGAAGCTGAGTCACAAGTAATGTACTCACAATAAATACTTTTATTACCTGCATATAAGTATCCAACGAGGCCACCACCAGCAGTTCATTCAGACAGCATTGATGCGATAAGAGGATTCATTCCAGACGCGTTTCAGCATATTATTTATCACAGCCCACTAAGTTGACTGCAGCTGTTGTTGTTCGATACTTAACGTCGTCGAATTTAGAAGGTAGCGCTGGAACATAAACGCGATTTTTTACATGACCCCACAAGAAAGGTAACACACTGTGAGGTTTGAGGATCTGACAGACCAAGCAAGCACAGAGAGCAAGACCTTGGGCCCCATTACGACCAGTCGATCGTTTTTTTTCATTTTAAAAAAGCTCGAACCATCAGATGCCAATGAGGCGGTGCTCCATTTTGTTGAAAGATGAATGGTTCCAGGGAAGCTGAGAATGTTTCTGGGTTTTCCACTATCTTCTGGGGTTATAATATAGTATAAAGCGCCTAGAGCTTGCTGTTGAGCCGAGATATGCTCTATGCAAATGCTGTGGTTTAATATTATTTTGTTTTTTTATCGTTATCACTATTAAAGTCATTTGAATCTACTTGCAGTATTGTGAAGAGCCAGGTTTAGAGCATATCGAAATAGTTCTGTACTATTACGGCATTTCCTTCAAAGGAAGAACGACGTTACAACAGCACCCCGTGTGACAGCTGTTCAAAAGTTTGATAACCCCTATTTCAACTGATGACTCATTCCATAACGATGCTTGAGAACTGAAACTAAGTGTCATGAAATCGGCTTATTCCTTTTTCATTGCCCTGATTATATTATTCATATATATA